TCAGCCGGGACCTGCCGGCCGAGACCGGGCTGCACACGGGCTGGGTGCAGAACGGGGGGCTCTTCATCGCCTCCAACAAGCAGCGCCTGGATGAGTACAAGAGGCTCATGTCGGTAGGGAGGAGCCCCGGCGTGCAGGAGGGGAGGGGTTTTTGTGGTCCCTGAATGTCCCATCCTTCCCACCTGGACAGCAGGTTCTTTCTAAGGCAGCCTCCTGACTTGTGTAAGGCAGGCAAAATCTGTCAAACTCCTCCAAAGTTGGCTAAATAAAATCCACCCTCGGATTTTTGGTTGTTTAAATAGTGGTAGCATCGTTTTCCAGCTGCACAGGCAGCCTGAATACAAAAACAGGGTTATATTCCCTAAAATCTGAGCATCACCCCGTGCTGGATTTAGGGTTTGGGAGATAAACTTGTCCTGAGATTCTCCTCCGATGTTGGAATTCAGGACATCCCTCTGGCTGTCCTGGATTGCCCAAACCCCTGCCAGGGGGCTCAGATACCCTGGCACAGAGCCCAAGACACCTGTGGTTTTGATTATGACCCATGGAGCAAATTCCCAACCTTACATGAAGATCTGCAAGCCACGAAAGCATAAGCAGAATAATAATAATAATCAGTTTAAGTAGAATGATAACGATCAGTTTGTCACTCCTTCAGCAGCAAGAGGTGACCAAATCTTTTGTTCCTTGCCTGATCTCCTGGTTTTCCTGTGCCCTGGCAGCTGGGGAAGGTGTATGGAGTGGAGTCCCACGTGCTGACGCCGGCACAGACCAAGGACCTGTACCCCCTGATGAACGTTGATGACCTCTATGGCACCCTGTACGTCCCCAAGGATGGCACCATGGACCCTGCTGGCACCTGCTCCACCCTGGCCAGGGCAGCGACTGCCAGGGGCGCTACGGTAATTCTTAATTAGTAATTAATACTAATTTTAGTTTAGTAAAACTTCAGTAGAGTAAAAAATTACTTAGTGATTTATACTAAGGGGCCTTCCTCACCTTCTCCTTTCCCACTGGGGCAGAGCTGCTCCTGCAGATTTGGGGCTTTCCCAAATTATTACTAATTAGTAGAATTAGTAATTTATACTAATTATAACTTTAGTAAAGTAAATATATATACTTTAGTGAAGTAAAACCTTAGTATAGTAAAAAATTACTTAGTAATTTATACTAAGGTGCCTTCCTCACCTTCTGCTTTCCCACTGGGACAGAGCTGCTCCTGCAGTTTGGGGCTTTCCCAAGAAGGGTGTTGTCCTCTTGTTTGGATGACAATGACAAAACTGGCAGGAACCACAAGATCCAGGGAAAATAGAGGGTGGAAAAAAGGCCTTTAGGAGGAACACAAGGCACTCAGAACACTGCTCAGGTTCCCTTTTCCCAGCTTTGGGGCCTGCATGTCAGGTGAGTTGGGCTGTCCCCTTGCCCTGTGACCCTGCTGTGACTCTGCCCCCCTTCCTGTGCCACCAGATCATCGAGAACTGCCCGGTCACGGGCATCCAGGTGAGGACTGATGATTTTGGGGTGAAGAGGGTGCATGCAGTGGAGACAGCCCACGGCACCATCCAGACTCCCTGCGTGGTGAACTGTGCAGGTACAGGGGACAGGGCACAGGGCAGGGATGGGACAGGGACAGCGGCCACAGCTCAGGGGTGGCTTTGCTCCCATGCAGAGGAAAGCCTCCACCAGCCCGTGGCTGTGCCCTGCAGCTGTCTGGGGATGCAGAGGAGCTCAGCACGGGCTTGTTGTCTCTGCAGGAGTGTGGGCACGGGCCCTGGGCCGGCTGGCAGGTGTGCACGTGCCGCTGGTGGCCATGCACCACGCCTACGTGGTGACCGAGCGCATCGAGGGCATCCAGGTCAGTGTGCCCACTGCAGCCCGGCTCCTCTGCTCCGGGGAACAGGGCTGGAGAGGCAGAAACACCCCTGCCCCTTCCAGGGACCCCCAGACCTGTGGGAGCTCCTGATTGCTGCCAGGTCAGGCTCTGCTCTCAGGGGAGTGCACACCCTCAGCAGGGCTGTCAGATCACCTTGAACGGAGTCAGATTTAATATTTAACGAGGTTACAACTGGCAGGATGGTTTTTTTCCCCTCAAGATCTTTGTGTTTGGTGTCCGATAGCAGCATTCATAAAGATCTCAGACCTGGCAGGCAGAAGTGTAGCTCTCCAAGCATTTCTAGACTGCCCCTATAAATCTGCTCCTGCCATCTGGCTGCAGAGAATTGCTTGGGAGTTGAAGGAGCCTTCATCCTCCGAGGCCCCAGTGCACTCAGGGTGACACATTAATTAGTTTCCATCCTGCTGACACAGTCTGTGCCTGCCCTTTCAGCACGAGGTGCCTGGTTGTGAAAAGTGCAGTGACTCCACCGTGCCCTAAGCAGCAAGAAAGGCTCCAGAGGAGAGGCTGCAGCTCACAGACCTCAGTGCCTCCTGCTCAATCCACTTAATTCCACTTGTCAACACGGCTTGCAGTAGGCCCTACACCGATTCCTCAGTGTTATCTAAATGTTTCCCCATCCATTATTCACAAGAACAAATCCCTCATTCTTCGTGCACCGCTGCCTGCGCCTCCAGCTGCTGCATCCTCCTGCAGGGGCGGGAGGCAGAGGAGTGATGATTGCTGAGCTAGGATCAACCCCAGGGGCTGCTCCCCATCCCCAGGGCACCCCTGGGTGCTGCTCAGGTCTCTGTGTGAGCTGCTCTCCCATGCTAGCTGGGTGCTTCCCTCTTGGGGCGCCCAAATTTCAGTGCTGAGGGAGCACCCATGGTGCCATCGTGTCCCATCCCTGACAGGTCACTGCTGCAGGTGCCCACCTTGTGGACCTTGCTGGGTGGCACAGGGGTGTCCCCGTGGCTCTTGGCCTCCTCTGACCCCTGCACTCCCCCTGCCCATGTTTCAGAACATGCCAAACGTTCGTGATCACGACGCCTCGGTCTATCTGCGTCTCCAAGGCGATGCCCTCTCCGTGGGTGGATATGAGTCAAACCCCATCTTCTGGGAGGAGGTGAGTGCAGCCTGGGGGTTTGCTGGGGGAACCAGGCAGTTTCCAGGGAAGCCACCTCGGGGGAGTGGGCGCAGGCACAGCCCCCAAATTCTGCAGGCACCAACCTCTGGTGGCTGGTGGGGAGAGCATCTCCCCTTTGGGGCTGTCTGTGGCACAGACATGCAGTGCAGAGGCAACAGGAGAGACAGAACTGTGCAGTCCTCCTCCCTGTTTGATGGTGCTCATCCCTCTATCCTTAATTCACATTTCAGATTTGCCTGGGTTGCTCAAGAAAACCCCAAAATCCCAGAGATTCAATGCAGCCTCAATTTATCTTCTCCGAGGCTGCCAGAGATGAGGTGATCTCAAACAGTCAGCCATCCTCTGTTCTGCGCTCTGATTCTTGTTCCTTCTCTTTAGGTATCTGAAAAATTTGCTTTTGGCCTCTTTGACCTGGACTGGGATGTTTTCATGCAACACATTGAGGGTGCTGTCAACAGGGTGCCAGTTCTGGAGAAAACAGGAATTAAATCCACTGTCTGTGGGCCAGGTAACGTGGCTGTGGTGGTACTGTGGTGGCTGGGTTTTTCTGAAGATCTTGCTAATGGCAATGGGAAACTTTATAGCCTGGGGAGAAGAAAAACTCCTTGAATGCAGAGGAAGTGCTGCTGGTCTGGCTGCAGTGGTGGCATCTTCCAAAGGGTGGCATTCCAGGCCTAGCCTGGGTGGAGAAACAGAATCACACATTCAGAGACACACTGAATGGTTTGGCTTGGAAGGGATCTTCAAAGATCATCCAATTCCATGGTCAGGGACACCTTTCACTATCCCAGGGTGTTCCAAGCCCCATCCAGCCTTGCCTTGAACACCTCCAGTGATGGGGCAGCCACAGCTTCTCTGGGCACCCTGTGCCAGGGCCTCCCCATGCTTGTTGTAAATAACTTCTATCTTATGATTTCTTATAATCTTATTGATTTCTTATCATCTCAGTTGTCCCTCTTTGAGTTTAAAGCCATTTCCCTGGGGAGCTGCCTACCTTGGTTTAGTCTGGTATTAAATGGATCTCCAGCTGATGTTGTGGCTGCTGGACTGGAAAATTAAGAGGCAGATGTTTTTAAGCAGTGGCTGTTATTTTACCAAGTGTTATCTTCTGTAATTATTTTTATTACATGCTCCTGGTCTAGTGAGGTTAGATTTACCCAGATTTACATCCCTGGTGTGGAGTTAAAGCCATCCCTGCAGTGGGAGCTGGAGGTGGTGCCAGAAATTGATCCTGAGCCTTGCACACTTGGTTTGCCCTTAAAATCCACTATACACTAAGAAATTAACTATAATAAAAGCCCTTTTTGCTGAGGCACTTAAAGTGAAACCCTTTGGGTTGTATGAGGGAAAAGTAGGGCACATCTTGTGCCCTGCAGCAGATCAAACATGACTTGTACAAGGTGGAGACCTTGGCCCTGGGTCCAGTGGTTTGATTGCAGAGCAGAACTGGCTGCTGGTAGATGAATGTCTCCTCTTTGTCGTTCAATAATGTCATTTTCCAAGGCTCAGCTCTCCTGCTTTTCTCCCTCTTGATTGAAGCCAGCAGCCTGTGGTGGCTGAGTCACGCTGGGCTGATGAGAGGGCAAAGGCTTTGTCCCCTCTGCTGTGGTCACTGTGCCAAGGTCCCTGCAGCCCTCGCCACCCATCCCAGGGCAAAGTCAGCTGTGCTGGCAGGGCAGGTGCTTTGGCTCCATTAACTCCCTGAGTTTGTAGCCTGGAATATTTGCACAGGGATATTGGCACGTGAGGAGCTGCTCTGGTGACAGTGGAAATATTCTGGCTCTGCTCCTGCCTTTTCTGGAGCAGTGGGATCAGGGGACACAAACTGGGCATTGCTAAGTGGAGAAAGACCACACAACTCAGTTTTCCCTCTATCCTTTTACATGGATGGATGGAGGGAGCACCATCAAACAGAGAGGAGGATTGCAGACCTCTGTCAGGGGCTTGCTGTCCTCCCTGGTGAGGATTTATAGAGGGATTTCCATGGCTGATGGCCCAGTGGAATAGCACTGGCAGCAGGAGACATTATGAGCACAGGAGAGACATCCCCGGTCCTCCCTCAGCTGAACCAAGGGGCTCAAAATTATGGAATTTCCCAGCAGGAATTGACAAAGGTGGAAACACCATAAGGAAACAGGGCCCAGGTTTAAAATGGCAACAAACAGATCAGTGCAGCCCCCTTGTGTCACCCTGTTTTCTTAAGATTTTCTAAGCTTTCTGATGTTGACATATTTGTAGTGAACTTTCTCACATGCTTTCTGTAAATAACTCATTGTTTTGCATTCCTTTATAGAAGAAGAGAAAATTGATAGACTGTTAATTTGACCAGTGTCACTGGAGAGGTGGCACTGTCACCCTCCAATCCACTGCCACTCTTGGAAAACTATAAATGTTAGAGTTAGAAAATAAACTTCCCTTTTCTTTCACCTTGAGAACAGCGGTGTGGGCTTGTGTTTTTTCATGTCCCATAGTGACACCCTTGGCTGGGGGATTGGGAAGGAAAAAAGAGCCCTCACAGTGCCTCGTTCTCCTTCTCCTGGGGAATTCATTTTGCTTCCCAAATTTCCAGCCCAACTCCAAACCTCTGTGCTGGGCAGTGTTGGGTGTTGCAGTTCTGGCCCCACTGCACTCTCTGGGAGCAAGATGAGGTCAGCATAGGAGGAAAGCTGTTTGTAAAGTGTGTGAGTGTCCCCAGAGTGTGTGATCCCCCCTGTCCTGGCCTCGCTGGCACGTCCCCTCTCTGCTTTCCAGAGTCATTCACAGCTGACCACAAACCACTCATGGGAGAAGCTCCTGAGGTCCGAGGGTTCTTCCTCGGCTGCGGCTTCAACAGCGCCGGTAAGAGAGACCTTGCGGGGTCATCCCAGGGGGATCCTGGCATCCCCCAGCCCTGCTTGGCCTGCTGGCCCTGTCTGCACCCTGCCCTGTTCCCCAGGGATGATGCTGGGAGGTGGCTGTGGCAGGGAATTGGCTCACTGGATCATCCATGGCCGGCCAGAGAAGGACATGTATGGCTACGACATCAGGCAAGTGACCCTGCTGCCTCCACGGGCACCCCTCATCCCTGCTGCCCCTTGGGGGTGCTCCCAAGGCAGGGCTGGCATCAGGAATGGCTGTCCAGGCAGTGTGTGTGTCCCTCCAAGGAGCTGGAATTAATTACAGGCAGTGGCTTTAATGAATGCACGCGTGGGGTTGATCTCGTTTGCCTCATTGCACTCCCACACAAACAGCTTCCATCAGGCACAGGGAGATGGTGGTGGTGGTGGGCAAGGACAGGGTAATTATGTTTGGGTTTTGTTGTTCAATCAGAGCCGTGCCTAATCCTCTAAGTTAATAATCAGGGGGATGATTTCAACAGCACAAAGATTAGCTCGGCCCCCCTCTGCAGCAGCACCAGGGCTGGGAGATGTGGCCGTGCAAATGTTGGCTCAGTAATTGCTTTTGACTTGCTTGATTGTCTTTGATTGGGTTTGGACTTTCTTACAGCCTGTAGTGACAGCAACCACCTTGTGAGGAACAAAGCTTTGAAAATCTCACCTTGCTTTAGTGGCCAAGCTGGTAAATGTTGGCTTGGGCAGGGAGTGAGGGGCCTGCAGAGATGGGGAGATGCCTCCAGCTGCCCCCTTCCACCAGGGATGCGGATGGAGAGATGGAGAAATCCCAGGCTGGGCACTGGGTTGGCACCAGCACAGCCCCCCTGACCCCAAGGGACCCCAGCCCTGCTGAGAGCAGCCAGGGGCTTTCCCCCCAACCATCTCCCAATGTCCCATGTGCCCTGTCATCAAGCTGTCAGTCCCATTCCTTCCTTTTGGTGACAATTACCAAGCTCCTCTTTAAATAACTCCCTTTTCCACACATTTCAATATTTATCCTCTCAGAACATTTGCTTGTAAATATTTCATCTGGCAGCTGTTGTCCGCTTGCTGCTGTCAAAAATTCAGCTCGTTGGTGAAGGGCTGAGGCTGATGGGGCAACCAGGGGTGCTGGTGACATTCCATGTGTCACCTTCTGCCAGCAGCTGCTCTCACAGCTCTTGGGGAGCATCACTTGTATTCCTTGCAGGGCTCAGCCCCATGCCCTGCCTCTGCTCTGCCCCCCGTCAGCAGGGAGGGAAGCTGAAAGTATCATTTTAAAAGTCCCTAAAAATGGCATTTTGTCCTTCATACCCTGCCTGGCTCCCTCTCTGCAGCCCTGGGAAAGGTGCCACTTGTGCCCAAGGCTGTTTCCCAGAGTTACAGATGTCTGGGATTAACAACCTGACTGTGGGCTGAGCTGGCACATTCCTTCAAGGAGATTTTTCTGTTTGAAAGATGGAAATACTTCAAATGAATTGAGGATATTTTGAGTTTTATTTATATTTCAGCCTGGGGAGAATCGGGTGAAAAATTTAAGGAATGTCCAGGGCTCATTCCCTCATCAGGGCTGGGTTTAAACCCTGAGGCTGGTCCCATGTTGAAGTGGGGTGGAATTAACCTCATATTTAATTTTTTTCCTATTTTCTTTCCTCAACAAGGCTGTTTTCTGCTCCCAGTTGCTCTGGGGTGGGGCAGCTCCAATGGTCATCACCATGGCATGGCCAGCACCAAGCCCTGTTTGGCTTCTCTGCTCCTACCCACAACACTGGAGCAGCAATAACAATTCTACACCAGCAGCTTCATCCACACCTGTGTCTGGTCCAGAGGCTGTGAGCTGGTGGGCTCACCCAGATGTTTCCATGTCCTCGCCTTGCAGGAGGTTCCACCACTCCCTGACCGACAACAACCGCTGGATGCGCGAGCGCAGCCACGAGTCCTACGCCAAGAACTATTCCGTGGTGTTCCCCCACGACGAGCCCCTGGCAGGACGCAACATGAGGAAGGACCCCCTGCACGAGGTGAGGACAGGGCCTGTGCTGGCCCTCACAGCAGCAAAAAGGAGCTCACAAGGAGTGGCTGCAGCTGGGTCGTTCCCCAAAGCTTCTGTGATGCCATCCATTCATCCTGGGGAGATCCCTGCCAGACCCCAAAGCTCACTGTGAGGGTTATGGGGCCATGGGTGGTTTAATGCTCAGAGAGCCTGAGAATTCCCATATTTGACTCAGCAGATGTGGGTTAAGAACCTGGTGATGATCAATGAGCAAGGGAAAAAGGGAGAGGAGAGCTCTGAGGCTGAGTCCATCTCAGGGGCAGCTGAGAGGGCTGAGGGTGCTGAATGCTCACAGGGATCTCCTGCTCACTGTGTTCTTTAGCAGCAGTTTCTCCTCAAACCAACGTCTCTCATTGTGGAGTGAGGCTGGGGCACAAGGGAAGAGGGCTGTGCCTCTGTAGAGGTGACTTTGCCAGCACTCCCTAAGTGGTTTTGCTCCCTGGAGCCACCAGCCAGGCTCCCTCCTGCTCCAGCCCCTATCTCACACAAATACCCACAGGTGAGCACTCTCAAGATGCAGCACTTGAGACAAAACCCCAATTCCCAGCATTTTGCTGCACCAGCAGCTCAGAACCCCCCGGATCCCTCGAGACACTCAGCTTGGCTCAGCACCAGAGCCTCATCCACTGCCAGCCCCAGCCCCAGCCCTGGCAAAGCCACATTTCCCAAGCCCATTCCTGCTTCCCTCTGATTGACATCACACCATTCCTCTTCCAACTGGAGGGCAGAGGCTGGAGCACTAAAACAGACACCCCTGCCCGCCAGCCCCCGGTGTTTGCTTGACAGCTCAGTTGTTTTCTGTCACTGAGGATGCAATTTATTTTTTAATAGCACGTCTAATAAGTGATGCCCACTTGACTGACAGGCTGCTATTTATCCATGCAGCTCCAGAACATGTGCTGTGTTTTATAAATAGGCACTGAATGATTTCTGAGATGTTCAACAAAATCTATTCTTTTCCGAACTGAGGCTCCAAACAAGAATGTCTTAATGGATCCCTAATTAATTGCGTGCAGAGAGGCTTTCCTGAGAGCTCAGAGGAGGAATGAGAAGGTTGCTGTATAAATATTAAATGTTGTTATATAATTACTCTGTGAACATGGTAGGGAATCTTGCTCTCTGCATGTAGCAACTCTTGGTCAGCAATTTGGGCACCCCAGGGCAGGTTTTGGTGGGGTGCACAGCTGGGCTGTGGCTTGCTGCATCTTGAGGAAAATATCCTGCCGGAGTGGGACAAAAATCAGGCAATTTTTAGGTTTGACACTGTTTTAAAAGACATTTTGGCTGTTGATAGCCAAACCAAGAGGTCAAAAGTCTGGTGTTGAGCCCACATCTGCACCCGAGGAGGGCAGCCTGAGTGCTGCTCAAAGAGCTGTGAGAGGAATTTTTTATAAAAAGCTGTTTGTTCCCATTTCTCCTGTGCAGGAGCTGCTGCAGCAGGGCTGTGTTTTCCAGGAGAGGCACGGCTGGGAGAGACCTGGCTGGTTCAGCCCTGGGGGAGCAGCCCCGGTAAGAACAGCTGGGGTTTGGGGGGGTCCTCAGCCTGGAGAGACCAGCTGGGGTAGGACCCAGCACCATGGGTGGGGATCCATCACTGAGGGCAGGGATTTTGAGGTGGGGACCCCTCATCAGGACAGGGATGCTGTGGGGGGATCCATCACTGTGGGCAGGGATGTTGGGATGGGGATCCATCACTGTGGGCAGGGATGTTGGGATGGGGATCCATCACTGAGGGCAGGGATTCTGAGGGGGAGACCCATGACTGAGGGCTGGAATGTTGGGATGGGGATCCATCAATAAAAGTAGGGATGCTGAGGGGGGGACCCATCACTGTGGGCAGGGATGTTGGGATGGAAATCCATCACTGAGAGCAGGGATGTTGGGATGGGGATCTATCACTAAAGGCAGGGATGCTGTGGATTCATCCCCATGGGCAGAGATGCTTTGGTAGGAGCCATCATCATGGGCAGAGATGTTGGGGTGAGGATCCATCCCCATGGGCAGAGATGTTGGGGTGAGGATCCATCCCCATGGGCTGGGATATTGGAGAACCCATCCCCGTGGTGATCAGGGATGCCAGTGTGGGCACCCACCACCACCACAGCTATCTCTCCAGGAGTGGGGTGAATATGCCAAGGAGTCTTTTGGCTTCAGCCTCACCTTCTCCTCCTCGCTGTCCCCCAGGTCCTGGACTATGATTACTACGGTGCCTACGGCCACGAGCGCCACAGGGACTACAATTACAACCGCCTGCTGGGGGACGAGTACACCTTCGACTTCCCTCCTCACCATGACATCGTGAGCGGGGCTGACAGCCCCTCCTGCCCTGTCAAACCCCCAGCCAGCCCCTCCTGCCCTGCCAAACCCCCAGCCAGCTGGGGGACCTGGAGGCAGCAGAATTTGTGCCCCATTGCGGCTCTGGGTGATGCTCGGAGGGAGGGGAAGCTCCAAAACAGCGAAAAATGTCCCAAAACTATGAAGAGAAATGTGTAGCCCAGGCTCAGAAATCTCAGGGGAGAGGCCATGGGAATTATGCTGCTGCTTTGCTGAAGTGTTGAGAGCAGCTTGGGAAAAAAAATCCAATTTGATAAAATTTGGGTGTTATTGATGATAACTGTCACTGAGGTAGTGAGGTGAGGAATGGGATCAGGCACTCGGGATGGCCTGCCAGGCTGGCTCCAGCAAATTCCTGATTCTTTCGGGAGCATTTTGAAGCCTTTAAAGGCACCAGGAGAGTGTCCTGGTATCGTTTCCCGTTATGCAAATGGTTTAATTTGTGTTTCCCTTTGTGGGCTCAGCCTCAGTGCTGCCGCATTTGCTTTAATTGCAGATCAAGAAGGAATGTTTAACGTGCAGGAACGCCCTGGCTCTCTTTGACATGTCTTATTTTGGGAAGTTCTACCTGGTTGGGCCTGAAGCTACCAAAGCAGCAGACTGGCTGTTCAGTGCTGATGTGAGCAAAGCCCCAGGTACAGCCTCAGCTCCTCCTTTTGCTGGGAAGATCTCACCCCAAAATAATCCAGAAAAACCCAGACTGGCTTTTCCTCTCAGTGCTGCCTTTGCAGAGGGTTTGGGAAGAGGCTGCTCCCCCTGTCCTCACCACAGTCTTAATTCTGCCTTGTTCACACCGGGGTTTGAGACTTTTAATCTCAGGGTCGCGGCTTCGTGCCGCACGTTGGGCGCCAATATGTTGAAATTAAATACCAATATAGCCTGGGCTCGTCTGGCCCTTACTGCTTGACCAAAGGTGGCAGCAGGGGTGGTTTCACCTGAGAGACACCTTTGGCTCGCTGGATGCTGCAGCAGCTCAGTGCTCTGAGCTCAGGGATGAAGGAGGGAGGTTTCCCTCTGGCTCCAGCTGTGGCTCACATCTGGAGGTGCAATGGGTGCTGGAGTAAATCAAGCACAACCCTCAAACAAGCCAGCTGTGGTTTGTTGTCCCCTTTTCCGAGGCTGGAAAGCAACTTTGGGCATTTCCAAGGGTGCAAATTCATCTCCTCCCACAGAACAGGGAAAAGCCATCATTCCTTTTCTCTGTGCCGGTGCTGGGACACCCATGGTCAGTCAGGACAAAGCCAGAATGGGTGATTTAATGACAGTGACACCTTTTTTTGCTGCCCAGCTGCCTGTGCCGGGCTGGCTGATGGGCTGATGGTGCCCGTGTGTGCTCCGCAGGCTCCACCGTGTACACCTGCATGCTGAACCGCCAGGGCGGCGTGGAGAGCGACCTGACCGTGAGCAGGATCAGCCCCGGCACCCCGGGCTCCCCCCTGGCCCCTGCCTTTGAAGGTAAAACCCTGACCAGATGCATGGAGCAGCTCTGTCACCCTCCCTGAATTCCCAGGCTTTCTTGCTGCTTTTTCAATGCACACAGAGAATTTTCCAGTCCTGGGCAGGTTTGTCCCAGCACTCCGTGTCACGCTGGAGGGGCTGCAGGCACAGGGCTGATTGCATTTTCCTAATGGCAGCCACCTGGCTTTTTCCACCTCCATCCCCGGTGCCTGTAACCTGATTATGGCCCCTGTCCCCAGGGCCCTGCACTGCTCATCGCTGTTATTGGGTTTGTCCACCCCTGCCTGGCAGATCTGACCTCTGTCCCAGCCCTTATCAGCTGCAATTAAGGGGACTGGAAGGCAGCAGAGCGGCCCTGGGGGCAGGAATGGCATTAGGCAGCTGCGGAGGAGGAGGATGCTGAGCTCTGTCTGGCCAGGAACAGGGTGGCCACAGAGCCCTGTCCCCATGCTGTGTCACCTTCAGATGTGCCATGGGGCAATCTCAGCATGCTGTGTCACCTTCAGATGCGCCATGGCAATCTCATCACCTTGAGGTGTGCCATGGGTCAATGTCACCTCCCTGTCACCTTCAGGTGTGCCATGGGGCAATCTCACGCCCCTGTGTCACCTTCAGGTGTGCCATGGGGCAATCTCAGCACGTCCAGGTGTGCCATGGGGCAATCTCACGCCCCTGTGTCACCTCCAGGTGTGCCATGGGGCAATGTCACTGTGTTTGTCCTAGCAGTGTGGGGTGCCTGTGATTTTTTCCCTCCCTTGTGGGAGGATCCTTCCTCCCTCCTGTCTGGGACACTGGCAGGGGAAGCAGGGTGGGAAGTGGCTGACAGAGCTGCAGCTTTGGCGGGCACTGGAGGTGTTTAATCACAGCAAAGTCTATTTTCCCAATTACAGTAGGTGGCTGCACTCATTATCGTTATGACAGAATACCAGAGAGCAATTTCGTAGTGGCAGGAAAGACAGAGGGAAGATTGATTACATATTAATCAGCTCTCAAACACCATCCCTGGGGATTCTTCCACCCAGGATTACTGAGGAGATGAAATTCTTCCTTGCATACAGTGGGAAGTGTACTGTAGTGGTTATGGGCTGGTCACTGTGGCATTCCCTGCTCCCACCTGTACCCACAGCTCCCTCCACCCTTGAGGGTCTGTTCTGTGTCTGGATAAAACTGCAGATGCTTTTGCTGTTGTTCTCAAGGAGTTTTTTCCTGTGATGCTCACACACACTTTCACTGCCAATGGCCATTTTCACTGTGCTGAGCCCCACAAAAAGCAGAGCCCCAAAGCTTTCCCAAATCCCCCAGCTCTTTAACCCTTTCATTGGCAGTCCCAGCCAGGGCTGTGCAAGCTGGCGATGCTCAGGGCTGCACTGGAGGCTGTGCAGAGCAGAACCAGCCCTGACAGTGCCCGGGGCTGTGTTCCAGGGGATGGATATTACCTGGCCATCGGCGGGGCCGTGGCTCAGCACAACTGGTCCCACATCACCACCGTGCTGCAGGACATGAAATTCCAGTGCAAACTCCTCGACTGCTCTGAGGAGCTGGGCATGATGAGCATCCAGGGCCCGCTGAGGTGAGAGGTGTGGGCTTCTCCCAGTAACCTGAGCGGGGAGGGAGGGAGGGATAGAAGGAGGGATAGAGGGGTGGAGAGATGGAGGGAGGGATGGAGGGGTGGAGGGAAGGATGCAAGGATGGAGGGAGGGATGGAGGGATGGAAGGAGGGGTGGAAGGAGGGATGAAGGGAGGGATGGAGGGGCAGAGGGATGGATGGAGGGATGGGTGGAGGGATGGAGGGATGAAAGGAGGGATGCAGGGATGGAAGGAAGGATACAGGAGTGGAGGGAGGGATGCAGGGATGGACGGAGGGATGCAGGGATGGATGGAGGGATGCAGGGGTAGAAGGAGGTATGCAAGGGTGGAGGGAAGGATGGAGGGATGCAGGGATGGAGGGATGCAGGGATAGAGAGAGGGGTGCAGGGATGCAGGGAAGGATGCAGAGTGGAAGGAGGGATGCAGGGATGGATGGAGAGAGGTTTGCCTCAGGTGCAGGTCCCCGTGTTGGGCAGGGGTAGGTGTGAGCCCCATGACACTGATGCTGATGTGGCTGGGGTGTCACTCCACTTCCCATGGAACTGAAATTTCTTTTGAGGCCCCCACAGCACTGCACATCAGCCACCTCAGCTCAAGTCTGTCTTGCCAGCAAGATGAGGAGCAGGATTTGGGGATAACCCTCCCTGCTCCCGTGTGCTGTCTCCCCACAGCCGTGCTGTCCTGCAGGAAGTGCTCGACACCGACCTCAGCAACGAGGCCTTCCCCTTCTCCACGCACAAAATCACCACAGCTGCAGGATGCCAGGTGGGAAGGGGCCCCTCCTTGAGCTGCCCAGGGAGCTGTGGGTTCTGTGCACCCACCAGCCAAGCACAGAATCCCAGTCTGGTCTGGCTTGGAAGGGACCTGAAAGATTGTTGGATTGCACTAATTGGTTTCTTTAGTGTTTTGCACTGGGTTTTGTATTTTGGAATAGTATACAAAAGATCATCTTGTTCCACCCCCTGCCATGGCAGGGACACCTTCCACAGTCCCAGGATGCTCCAAGCCCTGTCCAATCTGGCCTGGGACACTTCCAGGCATTCAGGGGCAGCCACAGCTTCTCTGGGCAAACTGTTCCATCTCCCTGTGTTGGGAATGTGTCTGCCCCCTCTTTATTGCAGAGAGGTTTTGTTGTGGTTTTTGTAGGAAAAGGCCAAAACCCAGAGTGAGAAAAGGGTGTTTCCCTGCCTGACTGCCTGGCAGGTGCCATCCTGCTCTGCCAGGGGTGTCACAGCACTGAGCCTGGGGAAGGGACAGGGTGACTCATGGCTTTGCAGCGATGCCACAGGAATGAGAGATGCCTCCACGGATTAGGGCCAGCCCTGGTGATGAGATCTACCTGACACTCCAGACACTTTCCATTTCCCCCTCCTCATAAAAAACAGGCACAATTTAATGCAAAGCCTGTCAGGTACTGGCAGCAGGGACTGGGCAGCCTGGGAGCTGCTGTTTGATCACAGGAGAAGCCTGACAGCACTAAGCTTCCAGTACAGCACACATCATCCTGCTTCTGCCCAGCCTTCAGGCCTCACACATGCCCTGAAGCTCTTGATTGAGCTTGAACACCCCAAATAGAAGAGCTGGTGACCATGAAGTGTCATTTTTCTCAAAGGAGAAATGTCCTAGGAAAACCTGCTGCTGGAAACTTTGGGTATCAGGGAAAAGCTTGAGCAAGGTTTCATGGAGAAACTCTGATTTCTCAGTGATGTTTATCCCATGCGGAATATTCCTATGGTTGCAAAAACACTTTGAGGAGAGGGTGGGATTTGTACTTGCTCCTTTCTATAGGAAGCCTGGGCAGGCCATGGTCCCAGAGCATCCCTCTCCTGCTGGATGGGAGCAGGGACCATGCCCAGAACTCTCTCTGCTCTCAGCCTGGAGCCTGGTGGGGCATGAAGGAGGTGAAGGTGAAGCAGTAAATCTCATAAAAGGCAGCAGGAGAGCCAGGAGCTGCAGCAGACTGGATGTTAAGGAAATTGGGTTAAGCCACGTGCGGCCACTTTTCATTCAGAATTAAAATGGCTTTAATTCTCCCGCAGCTGCCTGCTGAAGAGATTGCTGCTAAATCAAATTAGAGCCTCTTGATTTGTAAGCAACAGCCTGGCCAGGCCTTAAAGTGGTTTAAGTAAGGCACAGATTTTGCCCAAGTGAGATGAATCTCCAAACCATTGCCATCAATGCACCCTGGGTGCCCAGCAACTCAACCCACAGCGAGTTCAGTGTCCCTTGGAAGGCCTGGGGAATTCAAAGCCAATCCGCTGGTGCAGGTTGTCCAAAATTCTGGATTTTAGTCCTCATTAATCCTCCCCCCACCCTCCCCTGTCAGCCTGTAGCAGGCTGATATCATCTTGTAATAATCTGCTTTTGCCCTAAGAAAGGTGTGGAAATGTTCCTGTCTCCAGGAGTGTGATGAGTTTATTTGCATTTCACTTCAAGTTTGTTATAAATAATCCAGTCCTTCAAGGAAGATTGAGCTGGCAGAAGTTTTGTGGATCCTTTGGAGTGTGAATTCCCTGATGGACAGAGAGAAAAGCTCTCCTGTCTCAGGGGTGTGAGCTGGGAGGGGACTGGACCACCCTTCAGGAGGTTTCCTTTGTCCCACTGGACAATGAACACCAGGGGCCCCATCCCACGCTGGAATTAGAGTGGGAGGATTTCTCAGGGCAGCAGGCTGAAGCCTTTGCTGATATTATCACCTTCCAGGGGGATTAAACTGAACCCAGCATCTTAAAAAAGTTATCACCGAGATTTTCCTGCATTAACTCAGTAGTTGAACAAAATCAGCTGGAGTCAAAGGAGAGTTCCAGCAGAGTTAATGACTCTGGAAATTATGGATTGGTTTGTGAGTTTATATATAGAGTCTCTCATTGTATGGAACAGCAGAGAAAGGTCTCCCTTTGAATCTCACTGCTGGAGACAGGGAAAAATTCAGGTTTTCATTTTCTATGGTACCTAGAATGCTTTTGAATCGCTGCACAAAAGCCCAGGGATGGATGCAATTCCACAGCTCCAGCTGGAAGGCCTGTTCCTATGGGAATCCAGCAGAGCTGCCGAGTGCAGCCCTTAGCATTTCCCCCCTCCTCGGTGGGGTGTGAGGGGCTCACACACACCCCAGTCCCTCCCTGTGCTGAGCTCACCACTGCCCGATCACCCCAATTTTCCAGGATTTCCCGTTTTCTGTGGGCACTTTGCAGGGATGCTCATTCCCCTGGAGCACTGGTGCTTTGAGAGGAAGTTCCTCCCAGGAGTAAGTTGCTCCTGATTGTAAAGAGCGCTTCAGCTGCAGTCCCATTCGGGGTTAACGAGCCGGGAAGTTGCCTGTCAATCCCCAGAGCATCTCCTGCCGCAGTGAAGATGGGAGCTGGCTTGCAGCAGCCTCTTCTCAGGCTGTTCCCTAATTAGATGACACCTTTGTGAAGTGGAAAAAGCTTCTCTGAGCCCCTTGTGGTCCTGGGGAAGGCAGTGCCAGCCTTTGTGCCTGGCTGCGGGGCTGTGCCAGGGACCAGGGCAGGGCTCAAAATAAATTCCCCATCCTGTGTTCCTTCCACCTCCTCACTCCTAATGCAGAGGTTAAGGTTTCTCACCATTTAAAAATTGTAAATTCAGCTTGAGGATATGATTTTGCTGCCAGGGGAAGCAGGAGTGGATTTGGGCTCCCAGGTGTGCCATGCTGGCAGCACAGAGCCCAGGCAAACCTTGGGCACCTCTGCCTGCTTTGGGCAGCAGCTGCTGGGGTCTGTTTGCATTTGGGATTAGAGAGTACCAGCTCTGCTTGGGGCAAGAGCTCAGCAAATGGCAAAATGCAGCTTGTACCCCAGCCCCAGCCAGAGCCAGCATGGCCAGGCCAGCCCAAGGCCACCAGAGCCAGCCTGGAAATGTGTCCTGAGCTGGGGACAGCTTTGTTACCAGCACAGATCACAGCCCAGAGAGGAACTCTGGAGTTAATCTCTCTCCCAAAGGCGGCTCTGTGTCTGCAGTGGATGTACCCAGAGGGATGAACCAGAGGGGTTTTGTGGGGGAGGAAGTGGAGAAACACAATGGGATGAATCAGATGGAAAGGCAGCTCAGGCTCCAGGGCTGTCTGTAGGGAAGGTGCCTGAGTTGGGCCGGTCCCAGCTGGCCTGGAAGGCTTTGGGAATGGAGAATGTTCCAGAGGGACAGCAGGAGGGTGCCTGGGTGAGAGGCTGGTGGAACACAGGCGGGCCAGGCTGTTCCCTGGGACTGCAGCCAGGCTCCATCCCTGGGAATGAGGCTTCTCTGGAGAAGCACCGAGTCCCCTGTGCTGATCTGCTCATCCCCCCTTGGGGCTTCTGGCGTTTGGTGTGGAGCTCATGTGACAGCTCAGCTTTGGGACACAACCCTGAGCATTCCCTGGTGGCACTGGGACATGCCCAGGAGCCTTGGGTGCCTCTGCTGTGGCAGCACTGTCCAGGAACATTCCTGGGGCAGGGACAGCAGTGAGGAAGTGCCCCAAAAGCAGGACAGTCCTGCTGGGGACAGCTTCCCTGTCTCAGAGGATCAGCAGAGGGAGACAAAAGCTTGGCTGGAGCTGGAGCATCACATCTCACCCCAGCCCTGGAGTCTGTAGGCAGAGGATGCTGCAGCAGCCACCTCTGCCCACTGGCACTGACGGTAGCTGGTTTGAGGTACCAGGCTTAGGATGTCCAGAGCTGAGAAATTCACTCTGAGCCTACAGCAATGGTGCCAGGGCCCGGAGGAAGGAGGAATGATGAGGAGGACTGCATTGATATCAGAAGGCTCATTAATTACTTTATTATACTATATTATTCTATACATCTAAAACTGGATCTGCCAAGCACGAACCCTGCACACAACTGCAATGAATCTTGTGACTGTCACCCAACAGTCTCAATACTCTTGGCCCTGATAGCCAGGAAAACAAAACACCATCACTCTGGGTAACCAGTCTCCATGTTGTGTTCTACTTTTGCACAAACACAGGCACAGCAAATGGTAAGTATTGTGTTTTCTTTCTCTGAGGTTCAGAGAATGTGAATCCCAGAAATATTCTTGGGAAGGATTGTGCCTTGCTTTTCTCTGTGAAGGGAAATGTGGGGCTACATGAGCCTGTCTTTGTGCAAGAGAGGAGAGCCCATAAGTGCCTTCCACCACAGTTCCCAGGGGTAGGATGGTCGGGACAGACAGGGACAAGAGATCTCTGCAGCCAGGTCGTGGAACTTGGGGTTTATTGCAAAGGGCCTGGGTGCAGGGCCCTGCTGGGAGCTGCCAGCTACAGAGAAGTAAAGAGAGTGGTAAAGAGAGAGAAGGTAAAAAGGATGAGAAAGTAAATGAGAGGGTAAGAGAGTGAGGTTCTCATTACAATACAATAAATCTTCTTCTGTGTTGAATATTCTAATTCTCACTAACCAATCTAGTACAAGTCCTATAGCATTTCCATACAGCCTATAAGAATCATTACATTACTGTACTGTGTTACATTTTAAACCCTAAAAACTCCTCTTTGGGCCCCTGCTGCTAAGCCTAAAAACTACTCTTTGGAAACCCTAAAAACTCCTCTTTGGGCCCCTTCTGCCAAGCTAATGGGGTCTGCTCTGACCCTTGGGCCTGTCTGCAAGCAGAGGGTGTTGTTCCATCAAAAGGGGATTACCTTCAGCCAGCCACACCATTGTTTTCCAGTTGTTCGGTAACTGAGGGATCTCAAAGCTTGCTTTCATTTCAATCTCACTTATAGTTTCCATATTCTCCAAATCTTTTGCCAGGCAATCATATTTATAAGGCTTTCCTGTTCCATCTTCCCCAGCACCCAGGCCAGGCTGGCTTTCCCCTGACACGGGAGCCTCTGCCAGGCTGCCCAGCCCAGCTGCACCCTGGGGATGTTCCCCTCTTGCCTTTGCAGGTCCGTGCCATGAGGCTGTCGTTTGTGGGCGAGATGGGCTGGGAGCTGCACGTGCCCAGGGCTGACTGTGTGAAGGTTTATAGGGCAGTGATGCAGGCGGGAGCGCGGCATGGCATCGCCAACGCCGGCTACAGAGCCATCGACAGCCTCAGCATCGAGAAAGGTCCTTGTTCTCCTCCCAGCAGCAATCTCTGCTTCTCCTACAGAGCGGGGAGCAGGGCAGGGAGCTTTTCCTCAGCTTTGGGGTTGGTCAGTGGGACTGGAGGTGGGGCAGGGTCTCAGAACACTGAGAATTCCCCTGTGTGCTCCTCTCCAAGGTGTTTTATCCAGGTGAATAAAGGGCAGTGGGTGTCCAAGGGGCAGGGCTGTGGTGGTGTTTGCAGGACAAGGGAAGAGATGAGAATCTTGACTCCATGTTTCAGAAGGCTGATATATGATATAATATAATATAATATAATATAATATAATTTTCAAACCCTGATTTTAATTTTTAAACAGGGTACTTTTATATATTATATTATATTATATTATGTTATGTTATGTTATGTTATGTTATGTTATATTATATTAATTATATTAATTATATTAATTATATTATATTAAAACTATACTGAACAATAGAAGAATGATTTCATCAGAAAGTTAGCAAAGAAAAGAATAGAATGATAACAAAAGCTGATGACTCTCAGAGAGTCCAAGACAGCTGACTGTGATTGGCCATTAATTAGAAACAACCAACATGGACCAATCAAAGATGCACCTGTTGCATTCCACAGCAGCAGATAATTATTGTTTTTCTTTTCTTCTGAAGCTTCTCAGCTTCTCAAGAGAAAAATCCTGGCAAAAGGATTTTTCAGAAAATATCATGGCAACACAGGGGTGCTGTGCCAGGTCAGTGGGTGACCCATGCTGGCTCCTGCAGGGTACAGACACTGGCACGCAGACCTGCGCCCCGATGACACCCCGCTGGAAGCAGGGCTGGCCTTCACCTGCAAGCTCAAGTCCAGCATCCCCTTCCTGGGCCGGGAGGCCGTGGAGGCACAGAAAGCCAAGGGCATCTTCCGCCGCCTCGTGTGCTTCACCACCGAGCAGTGAGTACACAGCTGGAGGTTTTGCAGATGGGGCTGGAGGCACTCTGGGTTCGGCAGGGAGAGGTGAATGAGCAAATTCCCTGTTGTATGTTCAGTGGGAGCTGCAGGAGGTGTGAGGGTTGGTCTTGTTTCACCCAGAGTTTTGCAGGTTGGGCTGGTGGCACTCTGGGTTCAGCATGGAGAGATGAATGAGCAAATCCCCTGTTTTATGTTCAGTGGGAGCTGCAGGAGGTGTGAGGGTTGGTCTTGTTCCACCTGGAGGTTTTGCAGATTGGGCAGAGGTTTTGCTGCAGGAGGTGTGAGGGCTGGTCTTGTTTCACCCAGAGTTTTGCAGGTTGGGCTGGTGGCACTCTGGGTTCGGCAGGGAGAGGTGAATGAGCAAATTCCTTGTTGTATGTTCAGTGGGAGCTGCAGGAGGTGTGAGGGCTGGTCTTGCTTCACCCAGAGTTTTGCAGATGGGGCTGGTGACACTCAGGGTTCACCACAGAGAGGTGACTGAGCCCGTGGGCAGTGGGAGCCCTGGCACATGGGCTGCCCTGGGGCAGAGCCAGAGCCCTGTGCCCCATGGAGGGGCTGTGCTGTGGCAGCTCTGCCCTTTACCTCGCAGGAAGGTGCCCATGTTCGGCCTGGAGGCGGTCTGGAGGGACGGGCAGGTGGTCGGCCACATCCGCCGGGCAGATTTTGGGTTTGCCATCGACAAAACCATCGCCTACGGCTACATCCGAGACCCTGCAGGGGGCCCGGTGAGTGCAGAGCCCCGGGCTGGCTGTGCCTCCACACACCCACTGCTGTCACCTGGGCTGGGACATGGCACAGCAGCTCCCTCGTGTTCCCTGGGCAGGCTGGAGGGCGAGGGGTTGGTGCCAAATGCCAAAGTTGGTGTCACTGTCACCGTCTGAGGTCCATGCCCGGCTCAAGTGCTGCCTCAGGGGTTAATTGCAACCAAATATTTAATTGCAGTAGCAAATTCACTTATGTTGTAGGGAGCAATGGCCAATGGGAGCAGGGCAAGGTTTTAATTAACCCTGGGAGGCTCCTGGGTAATCATTCAGTGCCCTCATTTAGCAGCGTGCTGTGGGGACAGAGGTTGGGTGACGTCTCCAGGGACCTTTTCTGTGCCAGCCAAGAGCTGTGTGTGGGCTGTGATTGCTGCTCTTGCTTGCCTTGGCTTTTCATCCTGCATCCCTGCGAGAGACCCAAGGCAAGTGGCTTTGTGGGCCAGTTGCTCCTGGGAACCCCCTTTTTTCCCAGTGGTGAATATTCCTCCTTTTCCTTTTCCTTTTCCTTTTCCTTTTCCTTTTCCTTTTCCTTTTCCTTTTCCTTTTCCTTTTCCTTTTCCTTCTCCTTCTCCTTCTCCTTTTCCTTCCCCTTTTCCCTCTCCCTCTCCTCCCTCTCCTTCTCCCTCTCCCTTTTCCTCTCTTTTTTCCTCTCCTTTTCCCTCTCTCTTCTCCCTTTTTCCCTTTCACCCCTCCTTTCTTTTCCCCTTTCATTTCCCCTTTTTATTTCCATCATATACCTCCACAAGGGAAAAAAAAGAAACCTAAAATTTTCAAACCCTGATTTTTATTTTTTTTTAAACAGGGTGCTTTTAACAGTTCTCATCCCCCTTTCCACACATCTGGGGATGGCAGAGCCGGGTTTTCTGCAGGGATCAGATGTGTGGGGCGGGTGGGAGCTTGCCCAGCGGTGGAGCTGGGATGCTGCCACCCTACAGAGGTTTTCCCATGGCTCTGCCTCGCAGGTTTCCCTGGATTTTGTGAAGAGCGGCAGCTACGAGCTGGAGCGGATGGGAGTGACCTTCCCGGCCCGAGCTCACACCAAATCCCCGTTCGACCCCGACAACAAACGTGTGAAAGGCTTTTACTGAAGGCTGATGGGCTGCCCAGAGGGCAGAGGAGCTGCGGGCTGAACTCCTGGCCCCTGCTGGCTCCGGGGTCAGCTGCAAGAGCCGGGCAACCCCCTGGAACTCACCAAGCCACTGTGGGTCAAATCAAGGGGAGAGGAGGAAAAGATTCCAAAAAGTGCAAAGACTCTGCTGCTCTGTTTGCCCAGTGAAGCGGGGACACTGCAGCAATAATTCTTTTCCATGGGTTAATTGGCCTGCAAACAGTGTTTGGTCTCACTGTGTGTGAAGTGGTTTCAATTTTTGTCTGTGCTGGAATCTCTTTCCCCCAAATGTAGCCTGGAAATGAATTTTTTTTAAAGTAGCTCGGTTGTCAATACAGCTGGAACCTCTAAACAGGTCCCTTGCTGCATTTGTCCCCAGTCCCACGGGTGTCACCTCATCCCGGGGGCTCTGCTGGAGTGGGGATGTGGAGGGAAGGGGCAGAGTGCAGGGACATTGCCTAGGCTCGCACTGTGGGTTCCTCTCTGCAGTGCTGTTTGTGTTTGTGTGTCATAATCATGGAACCATGGAGGACCTCAAAGCCCATCTCATGCCGTGGGTTCCATGGGCAGGGACACCTTCCACTGGCCCAGCTGCTCCAATCCCATCTGGCCTTGGACACTTCCAGGGATGGGGCAGCCACGATGTTTCTGTGCTGCTCCTGGCACAGGCTGTGGTGTAAGGTGGCCAGGGGGGCACAGGCCCCACAGCTGCCCTTGGCCCCATCCCTTGGGCCCTTGTGGCTTCTTCCCAAAGGTCACCTTGGAGGTGGCTCCTTTTAGCTCCCAGCAGAGAGGGGGATGCTGGCAGAGGCTGAGCCATGGGCTCAAACCCCTCTGGCAGCTCAGAGCCAGCCCTGGGGGCAGCAGGGAGGGTTTGCCCTCACACGCACACAGCCTGTGCTGCAGGGAAGGATCAGCACTCCCCATCACCATCCCTTGCTCTGCTCCCCTCTCTGGGCTCTCTGCTGGAGCTTTCACCCGCCTGAAGAAATAATCTCACTCCCTGCTCTTCCCTTTTCCTCCCTTGACTAGGTTTGTTTGGGTCACAGCCTCTTTAGAGCTGATTTCAATTCCTTGCCCTCGTGCCACGAGCGCCACGGGCAAGAGCGTGAACTCTGAAATGCTTTGGTTTTACTGAAAACATTAAAAACCAAGATTGAGATGAATTTTTCACTTGAATAGGAGGTGACTGCCCTGCCTCTGGCAGGGTGGAGGGCAGGGGAGGGGGTGGCTGTGGTCCTGTTCTGAGGGAAGGAGCATTCTGCCTCCCTGCCAAGCCAGGCATCACTCTGTGCCTGGAAGATCAGGTTTTGCTTTAAAAGCCTTTTCTGGTGTGCAGTGCTCTGACCTGGGGTTTCTCATACAGCCAAGGTGGCTGGGGAGGAGATTTGGGGGCCACCTGGCCTGGATTGCACCTGTCCCGGGGCTGGGATGGACATGGACTCTCCTCCACCTCCAGCCTCTCCTCTGCTCCTCCTGCATGTTCTCCATTCAGAGCTCAACAGCAAAAAGCAATTTATTTTACATTTAGATATTTAATGGAGCAATTTTTTCCTGACAAAAGATTTGTCATTCCCCCTCCTCCCCTCCCCTTTTCCAAACCCCATCCCAGAGGTGTCCTTTGTTCCCAGCCATTGGCATCTGGTGGCATCGAGAGGAACAATCCAGAGCGTGGAGGAGTGGGGAAGGTAGGGAAGGGAGGGCTGGGTGGGTGTTGTGGCACCCCTGCATCCCTCCCTCCCTCCTTCCATCCATCCCTCCATCCCTGCCACAGCTGCCAGCATGAGGGAGCACCTGTGGAGCCATCCTGAGCTAGGCAGGACCGTGGGACACCAGCAAGGCTTTTGTGCTGCTCCCACACATCCCTTCGCTCTGTGCCTCAGTTTCCCCGCAGGCAAACAAGCTCCTTCCCCCCTCCCTGCGGCTGCACAATAGCAAACCTCGCCGTTATTATGCCGGGGGTGGGAAGCAGCATTACTCAGAGCCAGCATTGCTAATGACACACTAAATATAGCTCTTCCCATCCGCGGAGGGCTTTGCTGAACCCTGCCTGATGAGCTGAACCCCCTCCGGAGGCAGGGCCGGCCATGGCTGGGTGGCAGGGATGCTCCCCTCGATGGATGCTCCTGCTGGGTGGCAGGCAGGGTGTCAGTCCCTCCGGAGCCGGCCCAGGTGCAGGGGGACGGGAGCAGCGGGCTGAGCCCCCGGGGAGGGCGGGCAGCGAGGGCTGGGCTCCTGCAGCCTCTCGGTGATGCTGGGGAGCGGCTGCTTCTCCCACTGGCCCTGCAAGAGAGGGTAGCAGCACCCTGAGAGCACGGCAGTGTCACAGACATCTCTTATGAAAAATCTTTTCCTTAGGATTTTTCAGCCTGAGAAGCTGAGAGGCCTCAGGAACAAAATGTAAACAATGGTTATCTGCTGATATGGAATGCTACAGGTGCAGCTGTGATTGGCCCATGTTGGTTTTTTCTAATTAATGGCCAGTCACAGTCAGCTAGATTAGAGAGTCCAAGACACAAGCTTTTGTTGTCATTCTTTCTTTTTCTATTCTTAGCTAGCTTTCTGATGAAATCCTTTCTCCTATTCTTTTAGTATAATTTTAATGTAATATATATCATAAAATAATAAATCAGCCTTCTGAAACATGGAGCCAGATCTTCATCTCTTCCCTCATCCTAAGACCCCTGTGAACACAGTCACACAGCAAGGGAAAACATTCCCCCAGAAAGTGAAGAAGATGTTGGAGGCTCGGTGTTTCTGTCTGCTTGGAGAAACGGCATGAGTTTTAACATCTGAAGTGGGTTTTTAGCCCAAATCAGGGTGTTTTCTCATGAGACATCACTAATTATTCCTACTGCAGAAGCACCTACACATCCCCTGAGCGGCACAGACGTCTGAGGTGTTCCACAAATCCACCCCAGCTGGGGAATTTCCACCCCAAAAAATGTTACCTGCCAAGTCAGGTGGAGCCAGCTCAAACCAGGCAGTGCCACAGGCCCACCATGCTCTGGAAAAGCAGGAATTTCCAGCAGGGATGTGCCTGTGGAGCAGGAGGGATGCAGCAGCCTGGCTGAGGTGCCGTGGAAGGGCTGTCACAGCCATCAGGGCTCACAGTGACCACGGCCAGGACAAACCCCCCACTCCGTACATCCATGGTGGCACCTTGTCTTGGGGATGCTCCCTCAAAAGAACAACCTGCCAGGTGCAGGCGGTGCCCAGGGCTGAGCCTGCCGAGCAGGATCCAGCTCAGATGTGATGTTGGCATGGCCTGGTGGCTCTGGAGAGATGGGCAGGGGCTGGGGGGGCATGGGGGGCTCAGCTCAGGGTGGTGATGCTCTGGCTGGGCTGCCAGCTGCGTGTTCGTGCGGAAATGTCAGCGAGAGGCTGAGCCACAGCGTGAGCAGGAGGAGGGAGGTCTGGAGAGGAGAGGTAGAGCCGTGAGTCATCAGCGAGATGAAAGTGGAATTTATGTTTTCAGCTGAAATTTCTGCTGGTATGTCAAGCGAAATGGGCCAGAGCTGGCACCGGGAAAACCCTGGGGAAAGATGGAGTGGGATGGAGGGACCTTTCCAAAGCTCATGGGGAGTGACCAGAGAGGGGACAGCTTTGCAGGGGAGCACCAGCTAGAGGAACAACTCCTTTCCTATGCCCTTATGACTTAGGGGAGCAGTTAAGCAGCCTTAGGGCGCTCCAGCCCTGAGCCCATCTGCTGCAGCGTCTGCCCTGCTGATACATCCCTGAGCCTGCTCTTTGGAGAGATCAAAGGCAAGTGAAGTGTCTTGATAGTTGTTGTTTTCAGTGCTTTCAAGTTGAAACCTGAACAGAGTTTACTGCCAGCCCCTGTGGGTGCAGGGGAACTTGGGGACGGCACCGTCCCCGCTGCCGCTCACAAGTGTTACCTTGAGGTTTGGCTCAGTAATTAACAGCACTCAGCTCCTTCCAGAAATCATCAGATTTGGGATCACTGAACTGCAAAAACATGAGCTTAATTAGAAGCTGGTGCTTCTCTCTTGGCAGAAACAGCATGGAATAAATGAGATGTCTCCAAGTTGGGCTCGCTCTGAAACACCAGCAGAGCAGAGGCTTCTTCGCCCTCACTGTGATGCTCTGACCCACTTTGTGCCAGCACTGGCTCTGGTCTGCTCAAGGCCCTTCCTGACAGCCCCCAAGACCTCTCTGAAGTCAAGGGAGTTGTCTGAGTCATAAATTAAGAGGTTTAATTCATAACTCTGCTGCTGCACAAAACTTCTGCACCATTTCTGCCCCTGCAGCAAAGCTCTGAGAGGTACCTGGTGTTCAGTTCCAGGAAACTGGAAAGGTTTCTGCCCACCCCATAGTGAAACTTTGCTGAAGGGAATTTACAGTGGCAGAAAGCTGATGGTCATCCCTGCAATCAGCTCAGGATGTTCCCGTGCTGAAGTGGACAGCACTGGGTCCAGGCTAATCCAAATTTATTGCACTGATAAATGGTGTTGGAAGCTGATGCCAGCACTGGTTTTAAATCTTCACCACCATCATCATCATGTTCCTCATCTCTAGGCCTGGTTTTATTTTAAAGACCTCCCAGTCCTTTATCCTTCACGTTTTGCTGGATCACCAACTTTGGAAGCTGCACAGATGCTGTGTGTAATGAGCTCGCTCTGCTGGGACCTGGGGGGATTTGCCAAAATCCTAAAAACCACCTCACGTTTCTCCTTGGATCTGGCCCTACTTTAACAGTCAGCAAAAGCAGCCTCTAAATCACTTTATGCAAATGCATCTCCTAATTGGATCTGGCTGGGAGCATCCATGGTGGGCTCCTGATGTATTGGCTAAGCCCAGGGCTGGGCTGGGCTCTGTGTCCTGCTGATACCAGGGATTTCCAGCCGCCTGCCCTGAGCCTGCTGGGTTTGGATGTGTCCTGAGCACCACAGATCCAGCATTACATGTGGGAATTGTGCAGGGAAGCTCTGGGAGGGAGGCTGTACCTACCGGGAACCGGACAGCAGAGGATTTGTTGCAGTGCACGGAGATGGGAGCAAAGCCATAGAGGGATCTCAGCACATCCCTGTTGAAGGTGTTCCAGGGGATGGAGTAAAACTGCTGTGGGACAGACACCTGTGGGCACATGCAGACCTCCTCATCGTTGAACCTGGGCAGGAGAAAGGCCAGGCTGAAGCACAGCACTGCTGTGCCCTTCCAGAGCTGGATGTGACCAATTCCTCCCTGCCTGAACGTGGGAGGGCTCTGAGGGCAGCACTCGGCACAGGCACAGCTGCAGCAGCCAGCAGGGCAGCATTTGGGAGCAGCCCGTGGGTAGGACACCCTGTGCAAGGTCAGCATCTCCCTCTCCTCATGGGTGGATGGGCTGCAGCTCGTCCCCTGGCATGGATCCTTGAATTTCTGCCTCGGGTGATGAAGAATATTTTGCATTTATGCACTCAGCCACACGCTGACCCTTGCTGAAAAGGCCCTCCCTCCCTTCCTGGTTGCAAGCCATCCTCCAAACCCTGGGTTTGGCTGTTGTACCAGTGCTCCCTGTGCCCCCAGCCCCCTGTGCAGGGCTCTTTACCTGTTGACAAGGTTGAAGTACCGGTGCAGGTAGCCTGGATCCACAGCGCTTTTGCACAGCTCCAGCTGGGTCTGGGGGTAGTAGTGCACGTAGTTCACACACATCTCCTCCAGGATGCCAAAGCCTCCCTGTGGCACAGGCAGGAAGGTGATGGAAGCAAGGCCTGGCTGTGCCCTGCTGGGGCTGCACAGGGGCAGGGAGGCACAGAGCACACTCACACGCATCTATACCTAAAATCTCTCTCTAGATCTAGAGATCCAGATCTAGATACACAAAGATGAGATAGAGATGGACATAGAGATAGGTATTCACACCCCTTCAGGTGCATGGCATGGCCAGCCCTCTGTGCATGGCTTGTCTGCCCTCTGTGCAAGGACAGACTTCGAGGCTAGACCGTGTGGTTTACATTAAAATGCAGATTTCCTATAATCCCTCTGCTATATTTAGCCTTGTCCCTGTTGATGGTACCTCTGACAGGCTCTTTTATATTTTTTTCCCACTGCCTATGTAAGGAAATAACATGCACTGTCAAAAAATGCCACTTCTCTTTAATTACAATTAATCCCTGGTGGAACAGTTTGTGATGGGAATTACAGTGACACATGCTACTTCACAATTAGCACCTTCACATCCCCGCTGCAGGCAGCAGAGCCTTGTGAGTTCCCTTCTTCCCACCCTCCCTTGGCTTCTGGCTGGGGTTCAGCCTGGCTTCATGCAGGTGCCCACTCTGGGGGTGCCCCCAAATCTGCCCCTGCACTCACCACAGTGGCTCTGCTTCGATCCTCAGTGTTGTATGTGCAGGTGGTGATGAGTTCATCACCCTGGGAGGTTCAAACACAGGAAAATTTAAGGACTGGGGAGTGTTCCACATGGGAATCTCTGCTCCCCATATCAGGAGCCTGCAACCCCACAGGAGTCCTTGCTAAAACTGCATCCCCTGCAGAGATTCCCCAGGGCTGCATCCCAGGGATGGTGTTTCCTGCTTTCCTCGCTTTTTAAGGATTTCTGCGGGGTTGAAAACACCTTAAAATTGCACTTAGGCAAGAGCTGAGGTGCCAAAACAGGAGCTGACTTGATGGCACAGCAGCCTCCCTGCCACAGTCAGTGCTGAGGACCATGGGGACACCCCAGGGCACAGCTCTGGGCATGGCTCCAGTGGGTGCTGAGCGCTTTGAGCAGCTCAGGAGCAGCCCTGGGCATGGCTCCAGTGGGTGCTGAGTGCTTTGAGCAGCTCCAGGAGCTGTCCCCAGCCTTGCAGTCAGGTCCTTCCCCATCTGAGGAGCCCTGGGGCAGGTTCCACCCCTGTTTTCTGTTTTCCCACCCACTCCCACTCTGATGCTGAATCTCTTCCTCTCCTTCCATCAAGCAAGGCCAGAGGGCAGCACCATGGCTCATCTTCCCTCCCTGAGGAGCCTCCCTGTCCCAGACGAAGCCCAGCTAAATCAGGAGCCTCATTTAGCTCCTGCCTGCCCACACACCAATTCTGGGCCATATGAGAGAGGTCCTGGTTGTCCCCAAAGTATCTTCATGGAGATGGCACAGATGACCCAGGAACCCTCCCTCCAGCCCCCCTGGGAGTCCCCACATGGAATGGGGAGGTTGAAGAAGGCAGGGGACTCAGGATGTGCTGTTTGGAACATTTTTTGGAGCAACTCACCGGAAAAACAGCGACCACCTCCTTCAGCATGCGGATCTCCTGGGAAGGGAGGGAAGGGCACACATCAGAGTGGCACTGTGCCCAGGGGGAACACCCAGCCGTGCCCCCTGCAGCCCCTGTACCTGGAAGTGTGGGCTGTAGTGGCTGTCAGCGTTCACAACCTGCCTCTCCCTGCCGTGCCGGGCCAGCACCGTCACCACTTTCCTGCCCGCCAGGTGTGTGTGCAGCTGCGAGGCGAAGATGCGGATGCCAGCAGAGGGCAGAGCCTGGGGAAGGAAGGAAGGAGGGACAGCTCAAGCCCCCGTGGGAGCCCTGTCCCTGTCAGAATCCAGGACATTCCTCTGACTGCCCTGCAGGACTCCAGACCCTGGCAAGGGGCTCAGAGACCTTGGCACGGAGTCCCAAACACCTGTGCCTTCCATTTTAGCCCACGGAGAAAATTGCCAACTTTGTGCAAAGACTTACAAGCACAAGAGTTTGAGTAGAATGATAGTTAATTTGTCACAGGGTGAAAAAGTAGAATTTGGGGGATTTAGACTGGAGATTCAAGAGGCAAGATGGAGGAATCTGAATGTGTCCTGTCCTTCTTCTCCTTGTTCTTGTCCTCCATCTTCTGCTGTGATGGTGACACTTCTGGGTTGGTTTAGAATAGAGACAGACTGCCCAACATAGGTGATAGGTATTGGAAAATTATTGTAAATAAAGCACACGTAGTTCTTAGTATAAAAAGCCAACACCACCCCAAGGGCAGGGACTGTGCCACAGAACGACCTGCTGGACAGATCTCAGCAGGTCAGAGAAAGAATGGAACAGATAAGAGGAAAAATAAACAACCTTGAAAACCAGAGCCAAGGAACCTCGACTTCTTCTTTGGTCACAGGGCTGGGAAAAAAGACTTTTAATACCTTGGGAGCCATTTCAGCAACACAAAACCTGAGATGTCCCCTCTCACATCCCCTCCCTCACATCCCCTGGCTGTGTGCTGGGAACTGGCTGTCCCTGTTGTGGCTCTCACATAGAGTTTAGGGGATTGCTGTACCCCTGGAGAAGCAGCTCAGTGAGCTCCTTGCAGAGGGACAAACCCTCACTGCTGCCAAACCAATGCTCCAGGGCAGCAGGAGCAGCTGAGGCAGATGCTGCTTCCTTCCCTGCCCTTGTTGGTGGTGGCACAAGAGATTCCTTATGGGTAAGCCCTACAAAAACACACACCAAGGCTTCCCTGAGAGAGCAAGGTGGGCCCTTTGGAACCATCTTTGAGGGAGCTCTTGGCAAGCTCCCCAGGAGCAGGAGCCAATTTTCCCAGCCCTGTGAGGGAAAGCACCACTGGGACACGGCCAGCTCAGCAGTGAGCTTTATGGGAATGGTACCCAGGGGAGCTGGAGCAGATGGCTCCCCAGGAGAGCTGCTTCCAGGGGGATCCAGAACATCCCAACCAGCTGCTCTCTGTTTATTGTACACAGCAGATTTTTCTTTCCTCACGGTGAGTTTAAAACTTCAAATTTGCAGCCTGGAAATTGGTGCTGCCTGGAGCCAAGGAAAAGCCACGGGTAACCTTTCTCCTCTGAGGTGCAGATGGGATGGAGGGGACAGGCGCTCACCAGCTGGGTGCATTTATCTGTGCAGTATCCTGTGAGGATGAAGCTGTCCTCTCCAGGGGGAATGGCCATCACTGGGGTGTACACCAAGCCCAGCTCCATGATCCCAGCGTCGTAGGGACGAAGGGTGGCCGTGTAGTACAGCCTGATCCCCGAGGAGTCACGGCGACCTGGGGGTCAGGGGACAAGGACAAGTCACTGCAGGGACAAGGCCAAAAGGTGAAAGACAAGGACATGCTGTGGGGAGCACACTTCCAGCTTCCTTCCTGTTTGAAATTGTTTTAAATCCTACAGATTTTCATGCAAATCTTCACTGAGTGGCCCCAGAGGCATTTGGCTCCCTGGTGAGGGCACTGTCCCAGGACAGCAGGGTAAAGGTGCCTTTGGTGAGGCCAAAGCAGGAGGACAGAGCATGGGGTGATTTGGAGGACTCCCTCAGGAACGTGGCTCACTGCAGCTTCTTCAATCCCAAAATCCCAAAGGCAAAGAGCAGGGTCAATAGGTCAGGAGGGGTTCAGGGCAGCTCTGAGCTCCCTGTCTCCAGGCTGGAGCCCACCCAGGGATAAGAATAACGGGGGAGACACTATTGGTTAACAGGCAAAAGCAGATGAATGATGGAAGATGTGAACTCTGTATTTATAGCCGTGTTTCTTCTCAAGTTGCCGAATGTGCTATGATTGATCCACAGTACATATGCTCTGGCCAACTAAAAATATCCTTGGGTAGTCAAGAAGCTGCTTGTTTTTATGTTAATGAAGAAACTGGGTTGTTTGGAATCCTTCTTTTTTTTCCAATGTGTCTCCTGACAATGTTATCGAAGCAGGAGAAAAGGAATCAACATCCACATCCCCCCCCTCCCCAGGCAGCCTGGTCTCTCTGGTGCCTTGGCACTGCTCTCACTCCTGCTCTGGGCTCAGACCCAGCCCCACCAACTTGTGTGGAAATTGGGGTTACTCCTAGGACAGCTCAGCTGAATCTTGGTGTTGTTCTGGTTCCCATCCTTGCCACAGGAACTCTGTGGGGGCAATTTTCTGTCTGCAAGCTTCTTTCCCAAGCATCCTTCCCCACCTCTGGGCATGCATTTCAGTGAGGATGGCTTTGCTGAGACCAGAAAAGCAGCAGCGTGCTGGGGGGTTAATGTATTCTTCCTGCAGGGACAGATCTGGGCCATCAGCTCTCCACAAAGTTGAGAACAGGGCCATGGTTTGGGCCAGAGGCCTCCCCAGAAGGTGGCAATGCTTCCCTGGAATTTCCCCAGCTCTCCTGCCATGGTCACACAGGTAAAGCAGCATTCAGGGCAGCCCCTCACCTTTGAACACCAGGGGATTGTGGTAATGGATCTCCAGACGCAAATATCTGGAGGAGCCTGGGCCACCAAAGGCAAGACCTGCTTCTTCAGGGTAATAGAAAGCCTGGAAGCAGAAAATAGGGTGTTAGGGGAGCAGCAGGGTGGCTGCTAAGGGAATGTGTGGGTGTAATCCTGACCCACACCATGGACCATGACTTGTGCCATTGGTTGTGCTTGGAAAGCTGCCCTTGCTTCCAAAAGCTTCTCTCATTCCACATGCAGTGGCACAACACCTGAGTGTTGTCATAAAATCATAAAATACCCTGAGCTGGAAGGGACCCACAAAAGGATCATCAAAATGCAACTCCTGGCCCCCTTGTTGTCCAAGGAGGTTTTGGACAACACTTGTGGGATTCCTGGGGCACAGGACAGCCCCAAGAATCCCACAAGTGTTGTCCAAAACCCCCCTGAGCTCCCTCAGACTCGAGGCCATGACCATTCCCTGGAGAGCTGTTCTAGTGTCCCACTCCACTGAATTATGGCATCAGAGAGGAGAGAACTGGGGACAAATAGGAAATCCAACACATCCAGGAGGGGCTGAAGCCAAACCCCAAACAGAGCTCAGGGTGAGGAGCCCCCAAAGTGGCACCAGGCCGGTATGGGAGGCAGCAGGGCCTGGTTGCCACCCAGGGGAACATGTCCCTTGTCACACCCACCTGTGCCCCCATGGCCCAGGCTGCCAGCACGTGCCTGCAGTAGTTGAGGCGCTCTGGCTTCATCTTGGAGTCGCAGGGCCCGTTGTAGTGGGGGAAGCTGTCGAAGTCGGCCGCGCACTGGAAAACCTCCATGTGGTGCACCAGGGCCTCGTTACCCGCCGTGACCACCGGCTCGTACTGCAAGGCACGCCCAAGGAGGAGAGGACACACTGAGAGCCCATCCCTGAACCCTGCAGGCTCCATGAGGGGCCAGGACAGGCGTATCTGTGACCTGGTACCAGTTTCTGCCACAGGATAGGGAGGGAAGCTTGTTCAAGCCATGAGGCAATGAGGGCCAAGAACTTTCCCCTCATATTCTGGCTATGGCAGAGTTAAAGAGGCCTAATCTCCAGGGTGAGAGGACACTCTGAGAGCCCATCCCTGAACCCTGCAGGCTCCATGAGGGGCCAGGACAGGGGTATCTGTGACCTGGTACCAGTTTCTGCCACAGGATGGGGAGGGAAGGTTGTTCAGGGCATGAGACACCAATGGCCAAGAGCATTCACCTCATATTTTGGTTATGGCAGAGTTAAGCCCCTGGTTACTTCAAAGGGGAAACAACATGTTAGTAGTGCCCAAGGAGCATTTAGGTCAGCTGTGGAAATATTTAATTTCTTGGCTGGCTTAGGGATCAACCCAGAGCCTACCAGAACCCACAGAGAACCAGCTCATCCTATCTCCAGCGAGAGATGGGGATCAGCAGAAGATCTTGATCTGTTTTGTGATGACTGAGTCCTTTACCAGGGGTAAAGGTGGCCCTGGGGATGTTGTTTTTTTCCTACAGAGAGTCCTGGCTGTGTTGTTGCTGTAGCTCTGCCTGCAGCCCTTGGGTTTTGTTTCTGTCCTGCAGCTGCCTGGGGCATGGGGAGGAGGATTTGGGGTAGAGAGAGTGACTCAAGGCTGAGGAACATCTCTGGCTAAAAGTGCCAGCTGCAGAAGCGATCTGCAGCAGCGGGAAGGTATCAGGAGTTACACACTTCTTACTTACACACAGATGATTCACTTCACACCATCTGTCAGAGAGAAAATCCTCCTTCTGAGCCTCCCTTAGCATCGTCTCTCCCCTCAAAATCACCAAGCGCTCGCTGCAGCTCAAGTGTCTGCAGGTTCTCCTCATCCCCCTGGTGTGCTTTTGACTCTGGATGTGCCAGGTCACCTCCTGAGCCACCCCCACACCTCCTGGGTGCTCTCCCATCCTTTCCTCAGGGTTGCCAGCAGGTTTCTGCCTCTCCTCTGCAGGAGATGGCCCAAGCAACACGTCTGGCAGTGCCCACAAGTTGCATTTACGTCTGTAACTCTCTTTTTTCGGACTATGCCTCATCTTTTAGATGCCAGTTCCCATCCTGGCTGGCTCTGCCCTGCTCTCATCAGCCCTGTTCCTTTGTTTCCTGTGGTTTTATGCTCTTCATGTGTGCCAAAATCCTGCTGTGGGTCTGTTCCTTCTGCAGGGAGTCAGCCCTGAGCCTGCCCTGGAATCTGCTGGATGTGCCAGGTGTGAAAGCATTACCTGCTCCTCTCCTGCTGAGACACTCTAGGAGACAAGAGGATGCTACTGACTGGTGGGGTAGACCTGGAAGAGGTTTTGGAACCACATTTGGATGTCAGGGCCTGAAAGCCTCCCTGTGACATGGAATTTGCAGGATGTAAACACAATTTCTGACCCACCCTGGGGAAAGCAGCCTTCTTCTGCTCCCTCTTACCATGATAATGTGGTGCTTGGGGAAGCCCTCGGGCAGCTCTGCCATGTAACACCAGTAGGTCGTCTCCTGGCTGGGAATGACCACATCTGGGGCTGTTATCTCCATGGTCTGCATGTCTCTGGGCAGCTGAGGGATGCTGATGTTGGGTTTGAGCAGCTGCACCCTCTGCAGCCCCCCGTGGAGGGCAGAGACGTTGATGGCTTGCAGGGAATGCACTGGTTTCTCCAGGATGCCGTAGATCAGGTGCACGGTGCCATCCTGAAGCCAGAGCAGAACATATCTGTAGGGTTTCCATGCAGAACAGGAGCTTCAGGGACCATCAGCACCAGCACTGGCGGGATGAACCCAGAAATGGGTCTGTGACCCCAACCTGGCTGCACCAGCAGCTTACTGTGCTGTGCTGTCCCAGGACAGCTCTACATTCCAGGTGTTTCTCTGGCTGGTGTGGTCACTGAGGGTTCCCTAGCAGGTTCCCCTCAATTCCAAAAAGGTGACACATCCTCTTTGCTCCTTCCAAGCCCCTCATGAGCTCCAGGCTGGGACAAACCCATCAGTTCAGGGCTCATTGTCCCCTGCAGCCCAGCAATAACCTGGGAGGTAACAGCAGGAACAAAACTTCTCCCTCACGTCCTCCCTTTTTCTTTCAGCTTCTTTTCAGGGGGAAGGAACCACAAGAAGCTCTGCTGAAAGTCTGTTGCAAACAAGAACACTGAGAGCTCTGGACAGGAGATAAGGGAGGAAGGAAAAAGAGAACAATCTTGTCCTGCAGGATCAGAGAATAAAGACCAGCAAGTGTTTTCGTGGCTCACACACACAGATTGTTCCCTCCAGGGCTCTCAGTGTTTTGGCAGACGGCAGACACTTCTCACCACAAGAGAAGCTTTTGAGCACCAGCAGCAAAAACTCGAGGACACTCTGTGCCCACGTTGGCTCTAAAATATCCTGCCCACAAAGGCTTTCATGTGAGATGAGCCTTGCACTGATTCCAGGGCCTGTGGCTGAGCCTCTGAGCTGTCTGACAGGAGGGCTTATCCCAAATCCCAGCTCGGAGAGGAGTGGTGGGTGCAGAGCCAGGGAGACACCACCGAGCACAGAGCAGCACCTCAATTTGCTGTCCCTTTGTCCCAGCTCCTGTCACCACCCTCCTGTTTGCCTGCTGTTGATACACCAACCCCTCTTCGTGACACTCCCAACAGTTGGCTCCAGACTGTCAAGCAGAGTGATGCAGGAAGGATTTATATAGACCCAAAGCATGTTCAACAGGAGCCGATGATGCAAACGAGCTAAAAGCTACACTTGAGAGAGCTTTTGAAGGGCTTGTGAATAGATGGTGCCAAACATTACTCATGGGCCAGGGCTGACATCTGTAGCTCACTTCCTCTGTGCCTCACACAGCACCAACACCTGATGCTGTGCCCAAACAGGGCTGGGATGGGGCTGGGGGTGCCACAGCAGGGTGAGGGTGATGCCATACCTCTATCAGGTAGTCCTTGGGGTCGCAGGTGCTGAAGGCTCTTCTGAAGAGCAGGTAGAGCCCCTCAGGAGCCCTGCGAGCCCCAAGGAGCTGGTAGTCCTGCTGGGAATCCATGTGGAGCTGCCCCTTGGCATCACTCCAGGCATCCTGTGAAAGAGAGAACAGCCTGCTCAGCCAGGAGGTGCCTCCAGAGGTGCCACAGGTCCTCCTCGTGTGCACCCTCAGCACCCCAGAGCTGCAGGATGCCTGTGCTTTTCTCCATGCCCACCTCCAGCATCTCCTGGGCAGATCCATGCTGGAATGGCCTCTGCTACAGGATCCCTGGTGCTCAGACAGACCTGGGAAACACCTGAGCCAGCACTAACAGTCTGCAGAAAGACCTTTACAAGCTGAGATGTGAGTGGGGAAAGGTGGAGAAGGGATGGAGGAAAGCCCCCAGGGACATGTGAAGGTGTTGTGTTGGTCTGTGCTGGATTTTGGGTGTGTTTGTGTTGGGGAGACCCTGTGGAAGGGGGTGCTAGGCTCTCCAAAACCCTTGCCTTAAACCAACCTCCCTCAATTTAAGATCAGACCCTTGCTGGGTTAAAGATTTTCTGCAAAACCCTTAATTTTTTTTGTGGCCAGATTGTTCTGGCAGCCCAGCACGGCCTCCTAAACACTGCTTGTTGTAGAGGATGGTGACAAAGCCACCCCAAGAAGCAAAGCAGCAGGGTATTCCTGTGCCTCAGGGTTTGAAGGCTTGGAGTGTAAAATCCTGGGATAATTTGGATTTGATCAGGAGTGTTTCTTTGATCTTTTGTTTCTCCTGTGGGTCTCCTGTTTACTCAGAAAAGGCACCCAGGAAGTAGCTGGCTGTGTGCACACTGGTTCTCTTATCTTGGGAGGAAAAACCAGAAGAAAAAGGATAAAGCAATTTGGCATCATGTCAGCCAGAGCTATAGAGTCATATTTCCAGAACATATTGTCCTTAGAGGGGGAGAGGGAAATCAGCTCCATGGAGCTCTCATGACATTTGATTTCGTAGGAATATGGAGCGCAAGTTAATCTCATAGAACATGGGGGGCTGAACAAATGTGGATCTCTTTAACAGCCAACACACTTATCCAGAAGAAAAGCTGCTGGGGGAGAGAAAAGCAGGGCTGGAGAGATTTATAGAGATCTCCTTGCAGGATGCTGTTCAGCACCAAGTGAAAGAGAAAACCCGAGCGCTGCCGGGCGTTTCTGTTTGTCTTTGGGTGAGCTCAGGAAGGCAGATTAGAAATGATCCTTTATGTTTTCTTTACATGATGCTGTGAAATCCTGGAGCATTTGGCCCACCACAGACCCTGAAAGGCTGGTAATTAGCAGGAAAAGAGCTCAGATAATAAAACCTTCTTTTCATGCTTTCATTGCACTGCGGATCACATTGCGGCTGATTGCGAAAGAATGTGTTTTATGGTTAATTTGAAGTAAGCAGAGAGGTAAAATTTAACTTAATGGAAAGCCTCACAAAGGCAAAAATGGGAATTTCTTTCTGCAGCCAAGCACAATCACAATCAGCCTGATGCAGTGGGCTGGGGATAGGGCTGGGAAAACCATCCAGACAGAAACCCAACAAACAGACAGTGGCAGGAAGGATGGAGTTTGCAGCAGCAATAGCAAACAACACAACTGAAAATCAGTTTTCCCAAATACATCTGCACCTTTAATTTCTGACAGCACCCCAGGCTGCCCTGTTATCCCATTGATCCCTCTGGATGCAACTCTCAGCTGGGTTCCTCCTGCTGGCAGGAGCAGCCTCTGCCTGGTGACTTTTGCCCTGTCTCAGAGCCATTAATGGGAGCTGTGGTTAATTTTTAATGTGGCTGGCAGCAGCACACGAGTGAAGCAGGGTGTTGGTGTGTGTGTCTTTGCAGCTGAACACAGCACAGACACCCAGCTCCTGGCTCCCTCAGCCTTGCTGTGTTTATTCTTTCCTCTTTTGGGTTAATCTTAACCCCCACGCCAAACCCACCACGTGCATCCGATCTGGGGTAGAAACCCCTGAAACCCTCTGGACCCTGAGCAGTGTGCCCTGTACCCTACTCTACCAAACCACCAGCCCAATTCAGAGAGCTGCATAGCCAGGAGGGGAGCCCCAAAAACAGCCATGCAAGCACTCAGGTGACTCACCCCAAAGTAGGAATTGTGCCCATCGCTCCAGAGCACGGCCAGGTCCGCGTTCTCAAACTCGCCCCTGTCTGACATCCCAAAGAGGAGCCCAAAGTGCAGCTCCTTGATGAGCAGCTGGAAATTCACGGCTTGCTCGGGGTAGCTGACATTCCAGGAGAGCTCCAGCAGCCCCTGAGGATCCAGGGGCACCTTGTAGGGGAAATCACTCTGGCGGGGCACCGAGCCCTGCAGGGCTACCACCAGGATGACCAGGAACGCTGCCACCAGGGTGAAGTACATGGATGCCACCTCCCTCAGCTTGAGGCTGGGGCAGGAGCAGGGTCTGCTCCTGGAGCTCTGCATCCTGCCAGGACAGCACCCAGCACCTGGTGTGCCCATTTATGTGCTGGCCCTCCTGGGCAAGCTGGGTAAGTGATAGTCCTTAATTGCATTTAGCTGTTGGGAAATTGGGCTGGTGTATTGACCCCCGTCAGCTCCTGGCCAAACACTTGTCATCTGCTGTCTCCCCTTAATTGGCTCTAATTGCACATGGACATTATCAATAGCAATTGGGTTTGACTGGGCTGATGTGATTCGCTCTTAAATCTTCTTTAGTGGCTGGGAAGGGCTGGTTGCTCACAGGCTGCTCTGGCTGAGCCCTTGTGGACATGCTCGCACTGCTCATGGTGCCTTTGGACTGGGTGTCCACACAGCCCAGCCTGGGATCACCCCAAAAGTGGCCAGACAGGAGAACAAAGCACCCTGAGCCTTTTCTGAGCTCCCAGGCATTAAATAATACTGACAGGGATTGAAATATTTTCCCTGCAAAGCTCAGTGCCAGAGGAAATGCTGATTTCCCTCAAACAGCAGGAAAAGAGTTGTCTCCTCTCCTTTCTCCTCTCCTTGTTGGGCTTTGTGGGATTTAATTCTGGCCCTTTCAAACCATCAAAGCCCAGCTCCTCTCCCAGCTTTGTACCCATTGAAGCCCCCACCTGCCTAGACCACTGGATATATTCAATATTTGTTATTTCTTTGTAGCAGCTGGGACTTGGGCTCAGTTTAAAGTTTAAAGACCCCTTTAGCCTCTCCCCATCTTGCTTCCCATTTGTTTAAAATCTGATGGATTCTCTTTCAGTTATTACCTTTCCCACGTTAATTGGAATTATAATGAACTGCCTGGAGCTCTTTGATGCAAACACACACACACATTGCCTGGATTTATCCTATGAGACGATGGCATTGTTTTATTAATTTATTAATAAAAATGTTTTATTCATTTATTAATTTTACTAATTTATTTCTTGGTGGGGTTCCCTCCGGTCCCCTCGAGTTTCGGCTTTCCTCCTGCTCCTTGCAGCAATGTCACAGGGGCAGATCCGCCTCCCCCAGCCCTGGCTAAGGAGAGGAAATGGATTCAGCTCGGCGTTTTAATGAGTCATCAATGCGAGCATCTCCACGTTAAACCCGAGGAGGTTTCACCGTCCTAAGACACAACCATTACTCAGGAATGCGTCAATTGATCCCGGCCGCGTCTCTCTCCTTGCCGGGTGACCTGCTGCTCGCAGGGTTTGCTCTCTCAGTCAGCCCCACCAGGCAAAAGGCCAAGCACAGGGAGGGATGGAGAGCTGAGCTCTCCCAGAGGAGCGTCCCTCACCCCCATCCCTCCCCCAGTGACTCCAGAGCACAGCCCAGTCCCACATCAGCTGCTAAAAAGCCTTAAAAACACGCCTGGATAGCAGGATGATGCTGGAGCTGCCTAGGGATGCTCCCAGCATGGCATTCTGCTCACTGGAGCTGCTCCTGCATCTGCACCTCACCCCAGCAGCATTTTCTCCTTTTCCTGAGGCTCCTGGACACACCAAAGGCATCAGATGGATGTCCCTCATCCCCAAGCCCTGGTGCTCCAGCATTACACAAATGGCTGCCTTACAAAAGCCCCATAGAACAGATTTTTGTCCTTGCCCATCCCTGATCTCCTCCAAGCAGATTCACCCACTTGTCCTCCTCTCTTGGCTCCGTTTCCTCATTGTAAAGAGAAGATGCTGAGCTGCCAAGCACAGCAGGAAGGCAAAGTGATCCTCACCGGGGGCAGGAGGGGGCCCTCAGCTAACAAGTTCTGCCTCCCTCCATCAGAGATGAAACCCCAGGTTGCTGGCGTGTGCAAGTGCAGCTCCTGAGCTCTCCTGTACAGGAGGAATTTGCACTGGAACAGCAGAACACGGGCAGGTCAGCTTGAAAACAGCTGAACTTTGCAGATAAGCGCTGAGAATTTATTTGAAGAGAGAAAAAAAATTATGTACATCTCTCCCTCTGCCCCCCTCCTTCAGTTTCTCCTGAGTCGTGGCTCATAAATCCAGGCGAGGAGTGAGGATCCAGCTTTCCACTCATTGCTGGGAGTGTTTATTTTAAGACTTCATGGAGATGTAGAATCGCCAGAGTTTCTTGACTGGGAAACTCATTCGGGAGCAGGATCCCACGGGAGGGCTGTGGGGTGGGAGCTGTGGGTCCTGCCCTGTCCTCTGGGGCAGAGCAGCCACTTTGTGCCTGTGGAAGCTCCTGAGGAAGGGAATGCCGGCAGGACAGTGCTGGAGATGGGACTGGGGTGTCCCCACACCCCTCATCCCCCTCTCCAGGCAGAAAAGCAGAAAAGATGCCCAGGAACACCTGGAGCGGGCTGTGAGCCCCCGGGCAGGGTTGGATGCAGAACCCGCACCGGGAGTTGCTGAGCCCACACTCAAACCCTCCTGGTGACAAAATTCCATGGTTTTCTCTCCACACTCGGCACCTGGTGGCCAGCGGTGCCTTCCAGAGCCCGGCAGGGAGCCGGGGAACAAAGGCTGCTCACAGGTACGGCTTTAAACACAATTGATGCTCCGAATTAGGGGCTGGAGCAGGCAGAGCCCCCCGAGCTATAATCCATTGCCTCTCTAACAGAAATGGAAATTCGATTTGGGCAAGGGCAGGGAGGGGATGGGATGGGAGGGAAGCTCTCTGTCTGCTCCCACTCTCCGTGCCCCGGGGCTCTGCTCTCCACAGCCCTGCCCAGCCCCAGGATGGAATTTTCTGGGTGCTGATGAGGTTGGGCAGTGCCTGACTCGGGCTGGAGCCGTGTGTGAGCTGGGCAAAGCTGGGCTGGCACACGGGGGGATGCTCAGGCTTTGGTGATCCTGCAGGGGTCAATGTGGGCCGTTCCTCTGGCTAAATCCAGCCCTCAGCCAGCAGATCAGAACTGGGGAGCAGCCCCAGGACTCACAGGATGTGTTCCATCACACCCCAAGGTGGGGAGGATTGTTTATCATCCTTCCCAAAGGATCTCTTTGCCCAGTCTTGTTGCCATAAGGAATCAGGAGGGATCTGCAGGCTGCTCACGGGGTTTTTTTGTGCCCGGCCAATCTGAGTTTCAATTGCCCAGCAGGGGTACAGGTGAGTGTCTGCCCTCTCTAAAGTAGCTTTAGTGTCCCTGTGTCACCTGGGCCACAGCGAGCTGTGAGGTTCTGTAGGGAACTTCCACATGTGACAGCAGCCTGGGCTGGTTTAATTCACAGATGTGACATGTGCCAGCCAGGACAGGACACTTGGAGGTGACTGATCCGGGTGGCAATGGTCCTGGACACTTGGAGGTGACAGTGATCCAGCAGGGATGGATAGGAATGATCCTGGACACTTGGAGGTGACAGTGATCCAGGGATGATGGGATGGTGGATAATCCCTGATCCAGCAGGGATGAGTGTGAAGAGCCATTCCTTCCTCCTTGCCCCGAGTTTGTGCCTTACAGCACAAATGCTGTAACATCCCCCTTGCCAAGCCTCTGCTTGTTCCAGTTTCTTGCTTTCTCCCAACCTGTTTTGCCTTCCTCAGGACCAGATTTTTTTGTTTTACACTGTGGAAAAAAACTTTTGCCTCACATCCAAAGGGGAACCAGCCCCAGACCTCCCCACTGAGGCACTCACCCCAAATTAGGGACAGAACTGGACCTGAGCTGCTCTTTACAGCTCAGACTCTGCTCCTGCTCTGCACTGAAGGTGAGGACAGCACTGCCCTGACTGAGAAGCTCCATCCCTTCTGCCTCTCCCCTGCTCCAGCCATGCACCCACAGACCTGCAGAGCCAAAGGTGGTGGTCAGGGCTAAGCCACGGTCAGCTGGTGATGGGACAGCAGGACAAAGGCCAAAATTACCCAAAAATTACCATTATTTGCTCTCTGGGAGGTGTTACTGTCCTGCCAGGTGCTCCAGGCTGGGTGAGCAGCCAGGCCCCTTCCCAGCAGAGCATCCCAGAGAAATTCCCTCCCCAGTGCTGCCGCAGCTGAGGCACCTAATGAGATCTCCTCGCCTGTGCATGCTATATTAGGGTTTCCATGGATATGGTGTCACAAACACTGGGCTGTGGCTTTGTTATATAAACAGGAGAGATTGCCACAAATACCCAAAATATCTGAAAAGGACAGGAAGAGACAAAAGCGTTCTCTGGGTGTGTTTATGAGGCGTTGTGTGATCCAGGGGATAGTGCCAGTGGGAGGTGGGAGAGGTCTGAGTGAGCTTTGGGATGTGGAGTTTATCTGAGGGGTGGTCTCCGACTCAGCAGCTCTGGAGACTCACCCTGATCTTCAGTGGGATGGTTTTAAATGAGCAAAAGGGTGCTGCTGGCTGGGCTGTTCCTGCTCTGCTCGTGCCTGAGGGCTGGGCTGGAATCCTTCTCCAAGAGCAAGTTCATCCTCACTGAGCCTCACACAGATCTTGGTCATCCCCTGTTCCTGCCATATGCAAGGAAATCCTGCTTCCTGCTGGGACCAGGGGTGCTGGTGGTGATGGGGACACACAGCCATCAACTGTCCCAGTACTGCCCACTCCTGACCCTGCTCTGCAGGACCAGCTCAATTTTTAACAATTTCAGGTGCAAAAAGTCCCTTTTGTACAGTCGAAAGGATCGTGTAATGTGAGGGAAAAGCTGCTCTAGAATGGAGGTGGGATGTAAGGGACACAGAGACATCAGGGTGGCTAAAATTGTATTGCACTCCCACTCCCCTGCCAATAACAACACCAGAAATAAAGTGGCTTTGCAATAACCATCTCCACGCATTGGAACACAGATTCACGTGTCCCCGCAAAAGATGCTCCAGGCAGGATCAACTCTGCTCCAGCCTTGCTCTGCAGGAGAGCCACGGGAAGCTTGGCCCAGTCCTCCCAGTGGTGGTGACTCTTTCCCCAGCAGGTATAAACCCAAGCTCCCAGTATCCACCAGTGCCTCCCTTTTCCCACTCACCATGCTCACCTGTGGTGACATTCCCAGCCTGTGGCTGTGTCAGCTCATTCCAGATGCCTTCCACCATGGGATGAGCATCCATCCATCCTCCATCCATCCATCCATCCATCCATCCATCCATCCATCCATCCATCATCCATCCATCCATCCATCCATCCATCCATCCATCCATCCATCCATCCACTTGTTTTCTCTCCTCTCTCTCTCCCTGTCAATCCAAGCCAACACTTTTCCAAACTTCATCACCTAACCTGTGGTGGAGAATCCCAAATTCCACAAGGAAAGATCTGGTTTTATCCT